CTTGGAAAGGAATCAGCTCAGCTAGAAGGCCTGAAAGTAGTTCTATCCACAGCTGCAGGACAAGGACAGTGTGACTACCTCTACACCCCCAGGGCCTAGAAGGGAGACAAGTTATGGCAAGTCTTCAGGGGACAGTTCATAGCTTACCCAATCCCATGTCCTGGGATCAGGCAGGCTGGTATTCTGTGCACCAAGGGGATCAAGAGCTCCTACCCATTGTCACGTAGCTAGAAATCCACTCAGGGGACATCAAGCTCCTAGAAAGGGATTACTTTACTAAGGACTGTAATGGTTCCAGATGGAACACAGTTAAGTGTCTGTCAGTTTATTTTTTCTAAGTGTGCCAGAGCAGGAAAGTCCTCATTATTCTGTTTCTTGAATTAAATTGGGCTTCCTATAACCCCTTTACCCTATCCAAATAGTTCACCCATAATAAAACAAAAAAAAAAACCCAAGTCCATGGACTGTTTACTGTCTGTGGATTCAAGTATGGAAAATGCGTGTTGCCTGGCTGTGCAGAGCTTAAGGGGGACCCAAAAATGCAGCGGCCTTCAAGAGGGTAGTGCTACAAACACAAATAGCACTGCACATTTTTTGGTTATTTTTTTTTCTATTAAGAATGTGAAACACTTTTGTGAAACAGTCTTTTTTGTATTTTTTTTACATAGCCTAATAAGTATGTACACATAACCAGATCGTAATTGCAACATATAATGTGATAATCAGGGTTTTCTATTTTTAACCAACATCTTAATGAATGTGACCAGTGAGAATCCCCATTTCTGTCCTGTAAACAGTTCTAATCTCTGCAACAAAGATTCCAAGAATAGAACATATTTTGGCACCTCTGCACACATTAACATTTTGAAGCTTGCACTGTTTGCTGACAGATATGCTTGATCTCTCAATGGTCAATCAATAAGCTGTTGCTGAAGTCATTTTTACATTTCTTCTTTTAATGTAGGAACTTTCTCAGGTAAAACCCAGTCCAAACTCCCCACCATGTTCTACTGTATACACCATCTGGTGCCTAAACTTTCCCTACACCAATGTGACAGTAGAAGGCACTGAGCACTGCATTGTAGGAAGTCAGTAGGTGTGTTACATGTTTTCAAAAACCCCTCCTAATTTTCTAGGCACTCTCCCGGGCTTAAATTGGTTGTAAACCTCAGACATGAAACATGAACAAAGCACATCCTTCTATACTGTGTACTTGTCTCTATCAAAGCCACACTGAGTGTGATTTCTCTCTGCTACCTCCATCTTCTGTTATCTGCATAATCACTTCTGACAGTTTTACCCTGCTCCAAGAGATAATTGGTGACAGGGGAGGAGAGTTCCAGCATTAGCATGCGGCCTGTGATTGGCAGCCATAAATGTGCATGTTCTGGTACACTGGGTGTGTGTGTGTGTGGGGGGGGGGGGTGGGTCCCTCCAATCAGGCTCAAAGTTCCCCTCATTGAGCTGTGCAGTGTGAGACTTCAGATCCTGCTCTATATTTTTCGGAACTGAGAGATGCTGTGTAAAACGTGTGTTTTGGAGGCTATAGAGAAGAGATGCTACAGGTAAACAGATACAACTTAGGAGGATTTGTTTAATCGTTGTGTATGAGGCCAGTCAATTCAGTAGCTATATATAAGGTTTTTCAACCACTTTAAGGGTAAGATTACATTTTGGAGATTACCTAGAAAGGGACATGAGGGCAGTTTGTTAAGGTTCCATTATGACTAGAGAAAATTTGTTGTGATATTTGGCATGTGTTATACTAAATGTAATTTACCATAACCACTCGGCTTTCCAATCTGCTAGCGCATCTTCTAGCCTCAGCTCAGGTCAGACAACGACACTAGCCTGGGGCATGGACAAACTTTGGCATCCTATAGCACAGCATATATTAATGCCCTGGAGCAATGATGGGCCAATAGGAATCCAACAGTTATTAGTAGCTCAGGAAATCTTAGGATACGACAGTACAGTTACTTTTATATAAGCCTTTGTGTGGATATGTATATTTTTTCACTGCACCACGTCTGAGAATTTGCTAAATTGCCCATTATGAAACATTTTCACAATATAGGCTACATGAGAACTGCAAGAAACATAAGCAAAGGAAAAATGTATCTCTATGTTTCTGCTCTTTGGATTGCCCATTGGAATAAAGTAAAGTTCCATACATATTCTATTCCATGTTTTAAAACCTGTACCAGAAAAAAAAAAAAATGACTTTTATCTGTATAATAATTACTCTAACATATTTACTTTTACTGGTTCTGCACAGCAAACAGTTCTACAGCAGAGTGCACCCTCCAAGTCCTCATCAAGAAGGTACCCTCTTCTGGGGAATTTCAGTATGTACTCACTGCTACAGCTCATAATCAGAAACAAAACAGTAGCTGCACTTAGCCTGATTACTATACACAGTATCTTTATTTGTCTGAAATTTGCATTTAAATACCTAGGTACAAAACTACAACCAACTGGGAGAGAGGGGCACAGGGGGTGCAGAGAATAAAACTGTTTCTAGGCTCATAAGATTGAGGGGCTGAAGGACAACTGCCACTTCCCATAATTTACCAGTTGTGTAATCACATGACATGCTCTACAGCACGTCAAACACAAAGCCCGTAGGCCGAATCCGGTCCTCTCGGCCATTTCATATGGCCCTTGCACCTCTCCTGCAGCTGAGGCACCCCCTCATCTCCACTCTCATCTTGTCTCAGCAATCAGCAGCAGGGAGGAGGACAAAACTCCTACTACAGATCCTGCACCTCTCTGTGCAGCTGTAGCACCCCCTTGTCTCCGCCTCCCCTGGTCTCAGCATTCAGCTGACTCCAGCCCTCCTCTGGTCCTCCTCCAGACCCTGCACTTTCTGCTTTCCAACTTCACCCCCCACTTCTTCCCAGCAGCAGCACAAGGTAAGGGGGGTGTGTCAGGAATGGACTGGCCAGCAATGGTGGGACTCACCTGCCTTTTGATCTGCAGTACCAGGGCTGGCCAGCGGGTGCTCCCACAATCAGAGACTCAACCTTTCAGCCAGCTAACACCTGGAACTGATGATACTGGTGTATTTTAAGGATGGCCAGAACTTGCAGACTCTGCCTTGGAGTTGTTTTGTCCTGGCCCTGTATCTGTCCTGCATCCTGTTTCTGTTCCTTTGCTACCTGTTTCTGATCCCTGGCTTGTGACCCTGACCATCCCTCTGCCTGACCCTCTGTACTACGCTGCTTGCTAACCTGTTCTGATCCCTGGCTTGTGACCCTGACCATCCCCTCTGCCTGACCCTCTGTACTACGCTGCTTGCTACCTGCTGAACCTGGCCTGTGACCCCGACCATTCTCCGCTTGCTCCCCCTGTACCTACCTGCCCAATTGATATTGACTCGGCCTGCCTGACGACGCTTGCTTGTATGTACTGTTATCTGTGGGTGGTTGGTTGGGTTTGTTTGCACTGTATTATGTTTAGTATTGCACTGCGTTTATGTTTGTATTGTTAGTGTTAATAAATTACATTGTTAATCACATATCTGAGGTCTGCATTTCCCTGCTTCAGTCACACACCTCTGGTCATACCTGGGAGCCCTGACATTACACCAAGGCCAATCCTGACCAGAAGTGGCTGCACAGGGAAGCCATCTTGGCTTGTTGATGGGAAGGATGGATCTGGATGAGGTTGCGTATTTATATCTGCTAGTGTTTGATGACAGGGAGTATGCTTATCAAACTCTGAAGGAGTATCCCCGGGATGAACTGCTAGAATGTATACGGCTCGCTCATGTTCTAGTAGATCAGGGCACAGAGTTCTCTGAGGTGCAGCCATTGATTGAGGTTTGTGCTGAGTTGGTTTCATCTGGTTCCCCCGAATGCAGGGATGAATTTTTGCCACCATTTAGTGCAGACCAGGTAGAGTCCCTGGTGTGGTTATTAGAGGATGATGTGGGTTACTTTCTGGAGCGTTATTCCACATGTTCACCACAGACACTAAGAGATTGTATAAACGCAGTGCAGGTCATTGACCAGACAGGCTTTGTGTAAGCTCAGCTTTGTTCAACCCATACTGCAGACATGGACAGACTTGTTGCACCCAGCCTCAGTCAGCTTACAAAGACCCAGTCCTGCTTCTAACACTACTCCTGTATTCCCATCAGCTCCTCCAGTTACAGCCCAGTATACCTGGCTATCTACCGCATGTCAGTCCCCTGTTCCCACTCGCTGCACCTATCCTGCCTTTAACCCTGTAAAAAAGCCCTCTGTAGCAACTGCTCTCCCTCTCCTGTTCCATCCTCCAGTTTCTTCTCTGTCTCCAGCTGCTCCATTAGTTTGCAGACCTGCGTTTACTTGCAGTGCTCCAGTAGTTAAAAACCAGAAAAAAAAGCGAAAATTCTTTCCAACCAATACCATCCTGCCAGTATCCAAACCGGTGAGCCTGCCTTCCGTGGTTCAGCCTGAAGCCTCTACTCAGCCTGAAGCCTCTACTCGGCCTGAAGCCTCTACTCGGCCTGATGCCTGTACTCGGCCTGATGCCTGTACTCGGCCTGATGCCTGTACTCGGCCTGAAGCCTCTACTCGGCCTGAAGCCTCTACTCAGCCGGATGCCTGTACTCGGCCTGATGCCTCCCTTCAGCCTGATGCCTGTATGCAGCCTGATGCCTCTCTTCAGCCTGATGCCTCTACTCGGCCTGATGCCTCTACTCGGCCTGAAAGCCTCTACTCGGTCCTGATGCCTCTACTCGGCCTGATGCCTCTACTCGGCCTGAAGCCTCTACTCGGCCTGATGCCTCTACTCGGCCTGAAGCCTCTACTCGGCCTGAAGCCTCTACTCGGCCTGATGCCTCTACTCCCTGAAGCCTCTACTCGGCCTGAAGCCTCTACTCGGCCTGATGCCTCTACTCGGCCTGAAAGCCTCTACTCGGCCTGAAGCCTCTACTCAGCCGGACGCCGGCATTCAGCCTGATGCCTCTACCCAGCATGATGAACTGATCCAGCCTGACGATCCTATTAGGCCAGTTGACTCGATGCCCGCTGTTGATCCAGATGATCCGGTACCTGATCCGGTGCCCGCTGTCGTGCCAATTGACTCAGAGCCCGCTGTCGTACCTGGTGACTCGGTGCCCACTGCCTTGCCAGATTGACGCGGTGCCCGCTGGCGAGCCAAATGACCTGATGCCTGGTGACCCAGTGCCCGCTGTCATACCTGGTGACCCAATGCCCGCTGTCGAGCCAGACGATCCAATGCCTGGTGACCCGGTGCCCACTGCCTTGCCAGATGACGCGGTGCCCGCTGGCAAGCCAAATGACCTGATGCCTGGTGACCCAGTGCCCGCTGTCATAACCTGGTGACCCGATGCCTGCTGTCGAGCCAGACAATCCGGTACCTGATGACCCGGTGCCCACTGTCGTGCCTGTTGACTCGGAGCCCACTGCCTTGCCAGATGACGCGGTGCCCGCTGTCGAGCCAAATGACCTGATGCCTGGTGACCCGATGCCCGCTGTCCAGCCAGACGATTTTTCAATGTCTGCCCCAGTGCCCGGGTCATGCCAGTTGACTCGGAACCCACTGCCTTGCCAGATGACGCGGTGCTCGCTGTCAAGCCAAATGACTTGATGCCTGGTGACCCGATGCCCGCTGTCCAGTCAGACGATCCAATGTCTGACCCAGTGCCCGCGGTCATACCAGTTGACTCGGAGCCCACTGCCTTGCCAGATGATGCGGTGCCCGCAGGTCGAGCCAAATGACCTGATGCCTGGTGACCCGATGCCCGCTGTCCGGTCAGACGATCCAATGTCTGACCCAGTGCCCGCGGTCATACCAGTTGACTCGGAGCCCACTGCCTTGCCAGATGACACGGTGCCCACTGTCGAGCCAAATGACCCGATGCCCGCTGTCCAGCCAGACGATCCAATGTCTGACCTAGTGCCAGCGGTCATGCCAGTTGACTCGGAGCCCACTGTCGTGCCTGGTGACTCGGTGCCCGCTGCTCCGCCTGGGGGCCCGAGACCTGTCGCTCCGCCTGGGGGCCAGCGCCCGCCGCTCCACCTGGGGGTCCCGGCGCCCGCCGCCCCGCCTGGGGGCCCGAGACCTGTCGCTCCGCCTGAGGGCCCGAGACCTGTCGCACCGCCTGGGGGTCCGGCGCCCGCCGCTCCGCCTGAGGGCCCGAGACCTGTCGCTCCACCTGGGGGTCCGGCGCCCGCCGCTCCCGCCTGAGGGCCCGAGACCTGTTCGCTCCACCTGGGGGTCCGGCGCCCGCCGCTCTGCCTGAGGGCCCGAGACCTGTCGCTCCACCTGGGGGTCCGGCGCCCGCCGCTCCGCCTGACGGCCCGAGACCTGTCGCTCCGCCTGGGGGTCCGGCGCCCCGCCGCTCCGCCTGAGGGCCCGAGACCTGTCGCTCCGCCTGGGGGCCCGAGACCTGTCGCTCCACCTGGGGGTCCGGCGCCCGCCGCTCCGCCTGAGGGCCCGAGACCTGTCGCTCCACCCGGGGGTCCGGCGCCCGCCGCTCCGCCTGAGGGCCCGAGGCCTGTAGTTCCGCCTGGGGGTCCGGCGCCTGCCGCTCCGCCTGGGGGCCCGATGCCTGTCGCCCCGCCTGGGGGTCCGATGCCTGTCGCCCCGCCTGGGGGCCCGAGGCCTGTCGCTCCATCTGGGGGTCCGGCACCCGCCGCTCTGCCTGAGGGCCCGAGACCTGTAGTTCCGCCTGGGGGTCCGATGCCTGTCGCCCGCGCCCGGGGGCCCGATGCCTGTCGCCCCGCCCGGGGGGGCCCCGAGGCCTGTCGCCCCGCCCGGGGGCCCGAGGCCTGACGCCCCGCCCTGGGGGCCCGGTGCCTGCCGCTCCGCCCGGGGGCCCGGTGCCTGCCGCTCCGCCCGGTGGCCCGCTGCCTGCCGCTTCGCCTGGTAGCCCGATGTGCCTCTGCCCGGGGTCCTGCCCGATGTGCCTCTGCCCGGAGTCCTGCCCGATGTGCCTCTGCCCGTGAGTCCTGCCCGATGTGCCTCTGCCGGAGTCCAGCCCGATGTGCCTCTGCCCGGTGTGCCTCTGCCCGGAGTCCAGCCCGATGTGCCTCTGCCCGGAGTCCAGCCCGATGTGCCTGCTCTGCCCGGAGTCCAGCCCGATGTGCCTCTGCCCGGAGTCCAGCCCGATGTGCCTCTGCCCGGAGTCCAGCCCGATGTGCCTCTCTGCCCGGAGTCCAGCCCGATGTGCCTCTGCCCGGAGTCCAGCCCGATGTGCCTCTGCCCAGTGTGGCTCTGCCCGTGTGTGCCTCTGCCCGGAGTCCAGCCCGATGTGCCTCTGCCCGGTGTGTACCGCTGCCCGGAGTCCTGCCCGGTGTGCCAGTCTTTGATATCCCGCCAGTTACCAGACCCGGGGCGGTGGAACATTTTTCCCAGCTAGGACTGTTTGGAGCGTCCTGAGGCCGCTCCTTGAGGGGGGGTGGGGGTACTGTCAGGAATGGACTGGCCAGCAATGGTGGGACTCACCTGCCTTTTGATCTGCAGTACCAGGGCTGGCCAGCGGGTGCTCCCAGCAATCAGAGACTCAACCTTTCAGCCAGCTAACACCTGGAACAGATGATACTGGTGTATTTAAGGGATGGCCAGACTTGCAGACTCTGCCTTGGTGTTGTGTTTGTCCTGGGCCTGTATCTGTCCTGCATCCTGTTTCTGTTCCTTTGCTACCTGTTCTGATCCCTGGCTTGTGACCCTGACCATCCCTCTGCCTGACCCTCTGTACTACGCTGCTTGCTACTGTTCTGATCCCTGGCTTGTGACCCTGACCATCCCTCTGCCTGACCCTCTGTACTACGCTGCTTGCTACCTGCTGAACCTGGCCTGTGACCCCGACCATTCTCCGCTTGCTCCCCCTGTACCTACCTGCCCAATTGATATTGACTCGGCCTGCCTGACGACGCTTGCTTGTATGTACTGTTATCTGTGGGTGGTTGGTTGGGTTTGTTTGCACTGTATTATGTTTAGTATTGCACTGCGTTTATGTTTGTATTGTTTAGTGTTTAATAAATTACATTGTTAATCACATATCTGAGGTCTGCGTTTCCCTGCTTCAGTCACACACCTCTGGTCATACCTGGGAGCCCTGACAGGGGGTTCACTGTTATGTAAGGGAGGGTGGGGGACTCTTGACTTCTCATGGTGGGGGCAGTTGGGTCTGTCACAGGGAGGCTCTTGACATCTGATATAAGGGGGGTTAGATACAACTGGCCCTTTGAGGGCAAACATAATGCTGATGTGGCCCCAGATGAAATAGATTTTGACACCTCTGCTCTACAGAGTACAGCAGGATTCTCCTGCCTTTCATGTCCCTTTATCTTGTATTTGCTTATAGATAATAAACTGTTTGTTTTGTTTTAGCCATTCCAAGGGATTGTCAGTAGTCATTATGTGAGGAATTAACAGTGCTTTGTTATAATAATTTTAGCAACAGAACACTATTTATATTAACATGCTCCTCTGCCTGTTGCTGGAATCTCTTCTCTTGCAAATCACTACTCTCTGCGTTGGACCATAGTTCCATCCCCTGTCTCTTGTATCAATGCCAGACACAGTAGTTATGTAGGGGCTGGTGGACTGAACTACAACACCGGGCAGGGGATGCAGGCAAAGAACTGACCAAGAAGTGTATTGGATGTGAAGAGTCTTTGCATACTGTCTCCTTTTGCTCTAGACAGGGCAGAGGGTGGGGTGCCATGCTGTTTTGTTATTTGTAACCAGAATCACTTTTACTGGAATTTGCAGGCCTCATTGTTATGGTGATCCCTTCCTGAATGCAGTTCCCTTTTCTTACCACTAGCTGGAAATTTTTCAGACTTAAAATTTCTGATTTGTTTACGCCTGGAGCACTGAATGTTGGGAGATGTAGTTTGGGCCAAGAGAGATGCCAATATCAATGCAGGCAAAAGTAACTACAAGACCAAGGGTGCCTGGAGGAAGAAGGGACCATATAAATAGGAAAGCCCAGGAAAAGTTGGGACAATTGGGATTTAGCCGAGCCATGTGTGTGAAGAAGGTAAAGACCTGTTACAGAAAGCACAGAGCTGAGGAGACTGGTTACATATTTAATGCTGCATCAATATCAAGAAGCTGTTGGTTCCAGAGAGTAGGGAGATCAGCTGGACTGCTGGACTGAGTTAGAGACAGGGAGTTTCTGTTTGCTATGATCGTGTTCCACATGGCAGCCTATCGCTTCTGCTGCCAGAGGACCCCAGGGCATCAAACCCACACTAGCTGACCACACATGATCCAATCATAATTTATTATCGCATAGCAGAAACCACCACTTGTCAGATTGTTGCAGGAAGCCGCTTTGAGAACCAACTCCACATTGAAGGCGGCCCACATCTGAGAAAACAAACCTGCATCTACAGATACAGAGGAGCTTGTGAGTGGGTTTCTGACCAATTAGTGATCCATCATTTGACCGTTTGCCTAATCACCTGGAGAACTTTATTGTCCTTTATCTCTACTGACATCTCCCGTCTGCTTATTACTGACCACTGCTAGTCCTGTTGGCCAGAATATATATATTTATATCTAACCATCATCATATCTTAGAGTGCTAACACTTGGCTGCCCCTCCCTTGCCAATGGAGCCCATTGTTTTTCAGAACTGACTTGCTGTTTTCAGGGATATCCACTCCCCCCCCCAACAAGCACGCCAACATCTTCAAGGACCCCAATGTATCCAGCAGAAGACTAACCTTAAAGACAGTAACATAATTCACCTTCTACATATTTCTCTGTTTCAAAAAAGCCTAGGCTTTGCTCCCTCACCTCAAGTGCCTATAGGCAACGTAGCCCTGATCTGCATTAGTGCCAGTCTGTTTTTGCCCTATGCTTCTCATTTAGTGAGAAGAGCTACAATTTATGCTGGTTTGGTGTGTACTCTAACCATATTAGGTGAATATTCTGCAAAGAAATCCTCACTGTTATACTCTGCTTGTCTGAAAATTATATGACAATATTGTGACGAACCGTCCCTTTGCGATAACATTTTGCCCTTTCTGTTCTGGTTTTATCCCCTTTGTAAAGCTGTATATGTTTCACAGACATTCTACACTGTTTGTTTAGGGAAATGTGACCTTGTAGAGTCATACTGTATTGTTGGCTTGTAGGATTTTGTTGTGGGTGGGGAAAACCCGGTGCCAGGCTGTCTGGTGGGACTGAAGGGGGCGGGGATTACTGCCAGGATGTGCTGTATATACTGAGCTGTGTTTAATAAAGAAAGAGTCATTTTCACCCTACACGAAGTTCCGGCTCGTGGTTTGGGAGAGCAGGGAAAGGGAGTGTTTTGATCTCTAATACCTGCCTTGGCAGAGCACTGGAAGACTTGCAGGAAAAGGGGACCATTGGGTGAGACGCACTGCTCCGCACGAGGAAGCCCAGGCGAAACCGTTCCACCACAAATATACTTTGTTGCCTTACCACAAGATCACGAGTCTCATTTCAGGTGACCCTAAGGTATTAACAAAAATGATTAATC